AGACATATTTCTTGCCAGTACGTGGTCCTCTATTTCATCACAACTTTTCTAATACATAATGTGCCTTTTGCCCACATCACGTTCACTTTCTATTACAAATCTTCCTTTCTCAAGAGACTAGCACTATGAAAATGCCAAATTTTGAGTTGTTTTGTCACTGTATTCCTGTGTGACCTCTACCTTCTGAATCTGATTCCTCATCTCTAAAATTCCTTCCTTTACCTACTTCACAAGGTATCAATATAATTTCGGCAAATTTTGAAGTTGCTATGTAAAGCATGAAATTTTGATTTTATAGTGAATTATTATTTAATATGAAAATACAAATTCTATTCCGATATCTGAAGTTACATAAAATAACTATATTAGTACATGCTTCTTCAACCTAAAACAACACACACACACACACACACCACTATCACTCCAAGTGTCAGGATTTCATGAACCAGTAATATATTTTGTAATTAAAAATAGGGTGGTCACTTTTTATTTTTTTTTACTTTCTTTAAACTTATCATCTACTTTACCATTACTTGTTTCTTCAGTGAAAAAGCAAAGAGTACCTTAACAGCAAAAGAGTAAAAACAATAATTTTGAAATAAGTTAATCCCATCCCCCTCTTTTTTAGCAGTGTTGGGAGACTTGAACACAGCAGGGTACTCTCCCACTGAACTACACCACCCAGGCTATAACTTTATCTTTAGTTCTTTCTTCCTATCTTATATGCATGAACACTACCATGGATTGGATCCATGGTTCAGTGTTTAGGGACTACTACTCTACAGCCTGTTACACTTGTAGGTCCTATAAAGTCCTGATTATCTAGGCAGGCTGCCAAAGGTTTTATCATTATGAAGGAGGCCTCTTTGGCCTCCAGGGAGAAGAAAATATATCTACATCACAGAATAAAGTAACTACCTCTCAGGCTGATATTCTGGAACAGTGTGTGGACTGAAGCTGCCTCTAATTCTCAAGGGCTGAACTTCATAGAAAATACCAAACATTGGGATGATTAAGAAGGCTCAAGCTACCTCAGCTACCTAGCAAGACTGTCAGTAGAGAAGAAGATTCAGTTAGTTGAAAATGGCCAGTGATCATTGAGTCCAGCTTTCCAAAATTCATGTCTGTGGGTTGGTAGGGAGATGGGCTTGTAAAGTGCAAATAAAATGAACTCAATTATAGGGTGTAGAGGGAGGAATACACTGTAAAAGAATAAAGTTTTCAGAGTGGTAAAAGTGTTTGACATCTCGGTTTCACAAATGTGCACTTATGCCAAAACATGTAAATTTAAAAGTATGAGCACTTTACTGTACAAAGATTTACCTCCACAAAGCAATGAGTTTGTTTTTGCTTTTCAAACTCCTGAGGAGAGTAAACCTACATACAGTGCTGCATGTGACAAGCCATGTGACTTCCATGAAAAGCAGCATTAGCAACTGATAGTCCAATACAGATGACAACCACAGGTGGTGAGGAATGGAGTAAGGGTGAACAGAAGCAGGCAGAGAAGAAAATACAAGCAGCTCTACCTCTCCACCCCTCCAAAAAAAACTTCATGAGGGTCTCATCTTAAAGTCTGCCTTACAAAAGCAGAACCAGAGGAAACCGTGGTTCAGTTATTATTCTGTGAACGACTAAACCTCAAGCATTTTCATTATCATTATTATTATTTCTCCTGATGCTGGGTTTTTGTTGCTGTTGTTGCTTCGATTTTTTTTTCCTTTCTAAAATATCCATGGGAGCAGGGCAGCCGAGTGCATAACACATGCACCGGTACTGTCCTTGCTTGCTCTAAATCCACTGCTGTCTCTGGACAGGACAGGACATTCAAGGAGGCCCCACAAGCAACCTCGTCTCCCATCCAAGCTTCACAGCCCTCAGCCCCTCTTTCCTCCTTTGCTCTGCCTTCAGTTCCTTCATCAAGGCACAGCCGTCCCCCGCAAGTTCCCGCCTTGGCCTTTAATGCTCCTCATCCTCGCACAGGCCTAACCCCCTCCCTCAACTCTTGTCCCAGGACGTCCCTCACCTTTCGAAGCACTGAGAACCCACACCCTTTGCAAACGGTGGTCATGAGTTCCTTCAACTTGGCCCTTGAGAAAGCATCGCAGGATATCCTCTACCCGGCTTCTTCCTGGTCCACAGCACCCAGGCTGTCCCCGTGCCCCCCGACCTCAGAGGCTCGCTGCCCCTCACCACCTGCCAACCCCTCATCCTGTCCTCTCACGCCAGCAATTTCCCAAAGCCGGTGCTGCCGTCATCCCGAATCCCCTCGGCACCTTGCGCCTCTGCGCGCGCCGCGGCCTACGCGTCGCTTTCGCTTGCACCACGCCGCCCTGCCCGGGCCTGTCGGCTGCCGGGCTAGGTGAGTTCAGGCCGCCGCCATCGCTCCTCAGGCGCACCAGCCGCGCCCCGCCCCGCGCCACACGCAGCCCGCGCCCCCGCGCACCTCACGCAACCGCCCAGCGACGCACGGCTGGGCAGCGGCGTGCCAGCTCATTGGCCCGGACAGGCCACAGCTAGAGCGTCGACGCTCGTTTCCCGGCAACGGCCGAGCGCAGGGGCGGGGCCGCAGGCCGCATTCCAAGGAAGGAGCGCTTCTACACGCCCCAGGCCCCGCCCCTTCCCGCCTCAGACTCCGCCCTTCTGAGGATTCCGGCGTTTCATAGGGACCGACCTGAGAAGAGGCGGAGGCCTGCGGGCAGGGGCGGGGCCTGAAGAGGAAAATTCGAAATAGGGGAGAAAAGGCTGCTCCTGGAGAGGGAGAGGCCTGGGAGGCTCGGACAACCTGGCACACGGCTGGAGGTCCGGAACTAGGGCGAAGGTGCGGGACCACGGGTCCTGGGCGGTACTTTAGCGTCAAGTGGGCGTGGCTTCCTCTGAAGGCTACGCCAAGAGCCAGTCTGTGGGCAGGTCAAAGCGATCTGAGACTAGGCTGACTGCCACGAAGGTAGTTTATTTTTGCCAGACTGACTTGTGTATGCTGCTTGGATTCTACCTTCCTACCCGCGGGGACCGCCTCTTCCTGGCTCTCCCAAAGCTGCCATGACCCGGTAGAATGTGAAATAAGTTCCTGCATGACAGCCTGGAATCCTGATCCATTAGAACCTGTCCCAAACAGTTACAAGATAGTATTAGGGCTGTAAAAGGAAAAGCATCTAGAATCAGAACTTAGCATGATTTCTGCGCTTAGAGGATGAAGGAGCTGAGAATGGCTTCCCGGAGGGATGCTGGCTAAAGCAAGAGTGAGGAACACTAAGATATAGAAATAGATTCCAACAAAGTCTGTTGGAAGTATTAATATCAGCCGTTACTTGATTGTAATCATTATTCTATAGTTAACATAAAGTGATGGATGACAGAGGAACCTGGGAAGGAGTTTAAAACTATTTTTGCGACTTTTCTGTAAGCCTAGAATTGGTTCAAATTTTTAAAGTATTCAATCTAAAGGATTACCTCCAGTTGTAAGTTTTTCTACTGTAATGCAAATATCTGATATGCAGGATATCTGACACATGACCTCCAAAGAGGTCTCGACCCACCAGTTGAGAACTACTGATCTAAAGGCTTCTTCAGTCATATGTATTATGCCTGGGTTGGGAAAACTGAAAAGCTAAACTCAGTTCAGATTTCCAGAGTTTCTCGGAAAGAGCAAGGATCCTAAGAGGGAGTTATCACACAACAAGCATCCCAAGAAACCCAGAAAGTAGCAATATAGTTATTAATGGTCTAGCCTCAGATGTCACATAACATCACTCTTCCTGTACTCTTATCAGTTGACAGTGGTGTAACTGGGACAATTTGAGGCCACTGGCAGTGGGTCCAAGACCTAACTCTAATGCACAAACTGACTTAGCGGAGCCCATTCTACATGGAGAGATATCTTACTCAGCCTAGGCACATCGGGGTGGGGGTGGGGAGCTGCCTTGGTCCTGCCTCAACCAGATGATGGGACAGACTTAGTAGACTTCCTAGTGGAGGCCTTACCCTCTCTGAGGAGCAGATGAGAGGTGGGGCGGGGGGAACTGGGGAGAGTAGGAGGAGAGGAGGGAGGGGGAACGGGGATTGAAATGTAGAAAATAAATTAATAAAAGTGTTAATATAGAAAAGGGTACAGATACGGGAGACTGAAAGTGACTGTGGCCGCTTGAATAAGAATGACCCCCATAGGTTCATATATTTGAATGTTTAGTCACCAGGGAGTGGTGCTATTTGAAAAGATTAAAAAGATTAGGAGGTGTGGCCTTGTTGAAGCAAGTGTGTCACTGGGGGTGGGCTTTGAGGTTTCAGCAGCCCATGCCACCCTCCCCCTCTGCCTATGAATCAGAGTATAGCTCTCACCTGCTTCTCCAGCACCACGCCTGCCATGTCTGCTCCCATGCTCCCCGCCATGATGATAAATGGGCCAAGTCTCTGAAACTGAGAAAGCCCTAAATAAATGCTTTCCTTTATAAGAGCTGTCATGGTCATGGTGTCTCTTCCCAGCATTAATGAGGACAAAGTAGCATAAGATGACACACACAGACCCCAGATTAGATGATATGTATGTAGATAAAGATGTAGCTAATGAAACCACCTCTGATGTGAGAGGCACCCCTTTGTCCCTACAGACTAGTCTACCACCTGACACAAACAAGCCACTTGGCACATGGTTGTTAAATAAATAACTAGGCCCAAATGGTGACTGTGCGTAAGATAAAACAGAATTCAAACCTACAATGAGGGCTGGCCGAATCTCCTGAACTTGATACCATGGACTTAAGGGGAAGGGGAAAAGAGACGGCAATGAGAGCGAAGCTTCCTTCCAAAGCATCCCCCTCCAACCATCCCCAGGGACCTCATTAAAGGTGTTTAGCTGGGCAGGTGTAAACCAGCCTCAGCCCTGGGAGACAGGGCAGGGAGGGTGCTGGAGCTACCTTGCCTCCACCCACTCCATGCCTGCCAGCCCTAGGCCTGTTGCTAAGAGCTTCAAAGCCAGAGAATACGCAGCTGGAGCCCCGGGGCAGCCTCTTCTAGGAAGCCAGGCACTAGGCCCCACATTCTCAAGCCACTCTAGTTGGAGAAGCACTGGCTATTCTACAGGCTTAGGACCAAGCCACTGAACCATGAGCCAGGACAGCAAAGTGAAGACAACAGAGTCTAGCCCCCCAGCCTCATCCAAAGCCAGGTGAGCAGGCTGGTCCTTTGTGGGGGATGTAATCACCTGTCCCTGGGGCCTCCACCTTCTTGGTGCCCTGGTCACAACCCGAGCATTGAAAGTCCGATGGATAAATAAGAGGAGTCTCTTCTTCCCTACAGGAAGGGGCTGCCTGTCCTAGACCCATCTGGGGATTATTACTACTGGTGGCTGAACACGATGGTCTTCCCAGTCATGTATAACCTCATCATCGTTGTATGCAGGTTTGGCAGTAGTGCTAAATGAGAGGGGACTTAAGCCGAGGAGAAGGGTTGGCAGGGAGGACAGGACCTGAAGGAGAGGCATCGTCACTGGAAGGGCTCCAGGAAGAGTACTGAGGGACCTGTGCTAGCAGGCCCCTTACACACAGTTGGTAGCTTCAAGTCAGTCCCTTCTGTCCCTGCCCTGCAGAGCCTGCTTTCCTGACTTGCAGCATAGTTACCTGGTGGCCTGGTTTGTGCTGGACTACATCAGTGACCTGCTATACCTACTAGACATCGGGGTGCACTTCCACACAGGTCAGTGAGTTTCTGGGGCTCACCTTTTCCTCACATTTCTTTAAAGACATGTTTAAAAAAAAAGCAGCTACCTCACTGAGCCAAACACCTGGACTCTAGCTTCAGAGAGAGGAGTGACCAACAAAGGGGTCAAGACCCTGCTGGGAAAACCGACAGAAACAGCTGACCTGAGAAAGTGGGAACTCACGGACCCCAGCCTGACAGCTGGGGAACCAACAAAGAACAAACCAGGCCCCCTGAATGTGGGTGTCAGCTAGGAGCACTGGGCAGTCTGTGGGGCCTCTGGCAGTGGAACCAGGATGTAGGAACAGATTACTGGAGCCCATTTCCCATGGAAGGATATTCTCTTAGCCTAGAAACACAGGGAGGGCCTAGGCCCTGCCTCAAATGACTTGACAGATTTTCATGATCCTTTATGGGAGGCCTCACCCTCCCTGGGGAGTGAATGGGGGATGGGATATGGGGGTCGGTAGGGGGCATGGGAGGATGGGAGGGAGAGGGAACTGGGATTGATATGTAAAATAAGATCTTTCTAATTTAAATAAAATTTATTTTAAAAAGGAAAGGAAGAAAAGAAAAGAAAGCAGCTACCTCTAGGACTGCACTGTCATGTGTGTCTGTGCTTGGCAATGCCACAGTGCTCACCCCAGAAACCGTGGAGAGGGTTATTATGCCTGCCTCCATCTTGTCCTCATTGTCTGGCCTGACATACCTGGCCAGTCCCGACCTGTCCACAGTTGACCCTAGCCCACCTCCTTTCTTTCTAGGATTCCTAGAGCAGGGCATCCTGGTGGTAGACAAAGGCATGATCGCCAGCCGCTACGTCCGCACCTGGAGCTTCCTGCTGGACCTGGCTTCCCTGGTCCCCACAGATGCAGCCTATGTGCGGCTGGGTCCCCACGTGCCCACACTCAGGCTAAACCGCTTTCTCCGGGTACCCCGCCTCTTTGAGGCCTTTGACCGCACAGAGACCCGCACAGCTTACCCAAATGCCTTCCGTATCGCCAAGCTGATGCTCTACATCTTCGTTGTCATTCATTGGAACAGCTGCTTATACTTTGCCCTGTCCAGATACCTGGGCTTCGGACGGGATGCATGGGTATACCCAGATCCCGCTCAGCCTGGCTTCGAGCGCTTGCGGCGCCAGTATCTCTACAGCTTCTATTTCTCCACTCTGATCCTGACCACTGTGGGCGACACACCGCTGCCAGCCCGGGAGGAAGAGTACCTCTTCATGGTGGGTGACTTCCTGCTGGCTGTCATGGGTTTTGCCACCATCATGGGTAGCATGAGCTCTGTCATTTACAACATGAACACTGCAGATGCAGCCTTCTACCCAGACCACGCTCTGGTAAAGAAGTACATGAAGCTGCAGCATGTCAACCGGAGGTTGGAGCGGAGAGTTATTGACTGGTGAGAGTGCTGGTTGCTGACCTAGCCAGGGGGAGGTATATGTTGGGACCTGAGCCCAGTGATTCTGTTCTTATTACCTACTGACTATACCAGGCATTTAGAAGACAGCATTCACTGGTAGGTCTGCTGGACAGGACTTAGAAAGTGGTGTCTTCCACTGTGGGAATCTGGACTGGGGAAAAGAGCGGGTGTGTACAAGAGTGACACAGAGACCAGAGCTGCCCCTGCCTGGAAGGATTTGGGAGACAGAAAGGAGTGGGTGGAGAAAGGAACTATCCAGCCAGGAGATGGACAACAGATGGTTGGCTATATCACAATAATGCAAACTATGTTCTGAATAAAAGGAAATGTCTCAATGTCAGGGAGCCACCACAAAGCCTACCTGAGAGGGTGGGAGCTTGCTGACTGAAGCAGCTCAATGTAGACGTGCTATCAGACACTGCGGCTGGGGTGGGGCCTGACAGGAGGTGAAGCACTGGTAGGTGCCTCCACACCTTGGAAGAAGTAGAAAAGATCATGTCTGTAACCAAGAAGGGGGACCAGAAAACTGTGAGGTTCTCCCACTGCTCGTATGAGAGCTCAGTGTGGTTGGGTTCTTGGCTGAGCTGAGTCCTGATGGAGTGGGTGGAGGCAGACACATGGGGTTCTGGCAAGGAAATGGTACTTACTGCCTTTCTCCCAGGTACCAGCATCTGCAGATCAACAAGAAGATGACCAATGAGGTAGCCATCTTGCAGCACTTGCCTGAGCGACTGCGGGCAGAAGTTGCTGTGTCGGTACACCTGTCTACCCTGAGCCGAGTCCAGATCTTCCAGAACTGTGAAGCCAGCCTGCTGGAAGAGCTGGTGCTGAAGCTACAGCCCCAGACCTATTCACCAGGAGAATATGTATGCCGCAAAGGGGACATTGGCCGAGAGATGTACATCATCCGTGAGGGCCAGCTGGCTGTGGTGGCAGATGACGGTGTCACACAGTATGCTGTGCTTGGTGCAGGGCTCTACTTTGGGGAGATCAGTATCATCAACATCAAAGGTGAGTCCCCAAGGGGAAGTTCTAGCGACAGGACTGGTCAGAGGAATGGGAATGGCAGAACCCTAAGACAAGATGGTACTTTGGAACACATAGATTAAGATCTGGCCTTTGTCTGAGTTGCTACAGGACTAAGGCGAGAAACAGGATATGGATTATCTGTTCCCTCAGGAGGAGTTGAGCCAAGGTCAGTGGGTGGGGTGGAATCTCAGAAAACAAAGCAGTTGTGTTCCTTGGGCTCTGCAGGAAGTGCCAACAGACCAGCTGAAAGTTACTGCGCTAGCTGTGTTGTTATACAACTCGCCAATTAAATATCTATCAAGGCAGGTTAATGATAAGCACAGGGCTTGGTCACAGCACATTACTATGTGAAAGAATAAAGCAGAAAAAGAGGGTCAGAACCACTGGTATGGAGTTTATGTCCTGGTTCTGGAGTGAAATGCCACCTTCCCTTCCCTCCCCACATCTCTCTGCCCTTGGACCACAGGGAACATGTCGGGAAACCGACGAACAGCCAACATCAAAAGCCTAGGTTATTCGGACCTGTTCTGCCTCAGCAAGGAGGATCTGCGAGAGGTGCTGAGTGAGTATCCACAGGCTCAGGCGGTCATGGAGGAGAAGGGCCGTGAGATCCTGCTCAAAATGAATAAATTGGATGTGAATGCTGAGGCGGCTGAGATCGCCCTCCAGGAGGCCACAGAGTCTAGGCTAAAAGGCCTCGACCAGCAGCTGGATGATCTACAGACAAAGTTTGCTCGCCTACTAGCTGAGCTGGAGTCCAGCGCACTGAAGATCGCTTACCGCATCGAAAGACTGGAGTGGCAGACTCGAGAGTGGCCAAAGCCAGAGGACGTAGCTGAGGCTGATGATGAGGCTGAGCCTGGGGAAGGAACTTCCAAAGATGGTGAGGGAAAGGCTGGCCCAAGCATAGAATGACATCATCCTGACCCCAGGACTCCCAGCTCCAAGTGAATTCAGAATGGTAGGAAAGTTTGCCTGCAGAACTGTCATCCTATTTGCTAGGCACAGAAACTTAGATAAACTGGTCTATAGAAGCCTAGGTAGAGATGTGGGTTATAGCATACATTTGCCCCAAACTCATCAGAACATACGCACCCAGGCACGCATGCACGCTGGCCCAAAACTGAGTTCCACATAAAATGTTTCTGTCTTCTGCACACACGTTCTCATAAGCATAACTATGACTTAACACTCACTTAACCCACAATCACAGAGAATGTTGATTGCACCGGGAGTGTTGGGGTGACCTTGGTACATTTAAAGGAGGCTTGCTGGTTTAGGACAAGGAGAGTGTTGGCGCTACAGGGAAAGAAGTCAGATATAATGTCTGAACTACATTCCCTCTAGGTCACCACTTCAGCTGTGTCAGGCCATGGCCAGAATTCAGGTCTGAGCTGTGCCAGGTAGTGATGTAAAACGAACCTGATGTGTAACTTAGGGATATAAGTGAATGGTGAGTGTCATTATCAGGAGAGATTAAGAGGGCTATTGCACTTTAAAACATTTTAAGATGTGTAATTATTTTGTGATTTATTAATAAAATGTAAGGTTCATAAGGTTGGCACTGGGTTTATCTCATTCATCTTTATGTTGCCACAGCCCAAACTGCCTGGTACATAGTAGGTGCACATGCACACATATACATTTGATAAAAAAAAAGTGAGGAGAGTCTAAACATAGAAGCCCAATGCTGGAAGAAGAAAAGTGCCAGTTCCTCAGGGGCCTTCTCTACCCTCTCTGCCCTCAATCACATTGAATTAGAATGGGTGAGTAGGTTGCAAATTGTTTCATCACATACGTGATGAAACTTAGGGAAGTGAAAATAAGCTTATTGTTAGTACAGTGTGATGGACACACTTGACACCATTGGAGTCTCTGTTAGAATGGGTGACTCTTACCACTCCATAGAATCCTCATCTGTAGCAACACAAGCACAGTGATAACGGACCAGCTTCAACCTGCTGGATGCAGGGCAGTAAAGTTTCAAGGCCAAATATGCAGCCTCTTCTGCCTCCATTCTTCTAGGTTGAGGGGTGTGATGTCACCATAAGAGTCCTTTAAGTGGTGGAGAAGTTGCCATCACTGTGTTGAAGCCAGTGCTTTCACAGTTTGGGGTTGTGCTGGGTAGAGGTGGGTGAGAACACAAATTTAAGTTCTTGTAATAACACAAAATAAAAGTCGCTTCTTTTAGTATGAAAAACCTCAGTGTGTAAAAAGGAGCAAGCAAGATATTTCTGTATATGGCGAGAAATATTATTGAAATAGTCTTTGGGGTACAGCACGTTTCATCCCTCCCCTCCATCATAGGAAATAACTGATATGTTTGCATCCACTGAATGCAAAGCTCTTTTAATTGTAGCGTCCAAATCAGAAATCATCAGCAACCTCTGCCCCATATTGTTTATGAAAGCCGGCTCTCTTAGGAACTGGAAGCAAACGTTCCTATCTGTCTACACAGGCTTAGGCGTCAGAAGAAGCAAAACTTCTGGACCTGAGGGTGGAATATTCCTTAGGACTAATTAAATGAACAGGAATTCAAGATTCTGTTAGTTTTTTTTTCCCTTGCTGCAGCATCTTACCATAAACTTCACGGCCTAAAACAGCACCACTTCTTGCCTCGCAGTGTGTGACTCAGATCTAGGCTCTGCCCGACTGTCAGCTGGGCTGGGCTCTTAGCTGCAGGGAAGACTGCTTCCAGATTCATCCCAGCTAGTGGGAGGGTTTGTCCCTCTTGACTGTAGGACTCAGCTCTTTGGTTTTCTGATGCATGCCTCCTTTAAGCACCTCTCCCCACCTTTTTTCCCCAAACATCCCACTTCTAGGACCAAACAAAGAAAAGGCTCTGGTACCAGGCTTTTTCTTTTGAGCCACCAAGCAGCTCCCAAATCACAACACTGAGATTTGTTATTAATTATGAATGCTTGGCCTTATCTTAGCTCTTATTTTAATCTGTTTCTCTTTATCTATGTTTTACCTCAGGACTTTTTACCTTTCTTTCTTTCCTTCTTTCTTTCTCTCTATTCCATGTCTGGCTGGCTGGAGGCTGCCTGGCTTCTGGTCATGGGCCTGTCTTTCTCTTTCTCCCTCATTCTCTTCTACCCACTTCTTCTCAAGCCTTATTGTTTCCTCTTAACTTATTCTTCCTGCCCACCAGCCCAGCCTATCCCTGTTTTGCTTAGCTATTGGCTTTTCACCATTTTATTAAACCAATCAGGTACCTCACTTAGGCAGGCAAGGTGAAACAGCAATACATCTTTATATAAGTAAACAAATGTAACACATCTTTGCATAATTAAACAAATGCAGCATAAACAATTGTAACACATCTTTACACAGTTAAAGTAATATTCCACAGCATAAACAAATGTAAAACATCTTTACATAGTTAAATATTCCACAACAGCCTCTTCGTCCTGGGGCCCCAGACTAGGCCAAGTCAGCCTGAATAATACAGAATAATTTCTCTGTTTCAAGGTTAGCCGACTATTAATTTTAATTATAGCTGCAAAGCTCCCTTTGCCGTATTCAGAAGACAAAAGTAATAATGGCCAAATTTCTGCCTATTTTTACACTCTTGGAAGGAAGCACCTTGGATCCCACTTTCACAGACGACATAGAACAGGAAGAACTCAGAGTTGAGTCTTTTGGAAACTAGAACATGACCACAGTGTCATGAGGCACTGGAACCTCAGAGTGCACTCCCTAAAAGTGTGTAAGCTTGAACCAAGCACATCCCAGTCAGCTCTGCCAGAAGTAGATAGACTCTGCCCAGATGGCCAAAGACATTTGCAAGACCCTAAGTTAGGGACGAGAAAACAGACAGGAATCCATAAAATACAACTGAGGTCAAATCCTCCAAAAGTTAGATGATTAGACACCTTAATAAAATTTGTAAAACTAAGGAATGTACAGTATTTTTCATACTCTTGAGACATTAGTGAGTGCTATACATATGTTTTACTCTTTGGTTCTTGTAACAATGCTAGGAAGTTTATTGTTATCCTCATTCTTTCCAGATCAGGAAACTGGAGCCCATAAAGCAACTGAAAATACTAGATTTAATTTGTTGAGGATTACTTCATGACAGGTCCTGGGCCACATGCATTGCCTCAGTTCATCCTTCCAACCATACAAGAAGGATATCATTATTATCTCCATGTTTAAATAAAGAAACTGAGACTATGGGGCTAAATAGCACACCCCAAATCACTGAGCTCCCAAATCAGATGAAAGGAAACCTAGGTTTGTCTTTTTTATTTGTTTGTAAAGGAAGGAGATAACCTCAGCTTGGGACTAAAGCAATCCAAGCTCCTTTCTTTGCAAAGAACAGTGCTTCTAATCAGGACTGTGGTAACCAGGGGAGACCAAGTCATTCCTGCAAAGCAAAGCCGTGAGCCATGGACAAGGCTGCCCAGGGTGATGAAGTATGATCTCAAGGATGCAGTCACAAAGGCAGAAGCTGCCTGCTACACTGGAGTCGTGAGACAGAGGGCCACCATCGACACACCTACATCATGTGTGCTGCTAGATTTGCACCAAAGTGTCATAATATGTCAAGGACTTTCCTGCTGGGGTCTCATCGTCTTCTCTTCAAGAGTCATGACTGCAAGATACCTTAGCCTGACTGAAATCAAAGGTGTTCACCCCTCCTGTTTTTCCAGTTAGCTATTCTCCTGCAGAAAAATATCAGCCCATGCTAACCCCTCCTCTCTCTCTCTCCCGCCCTCTTTCTTTCTATTTTCTTTATTTCTTTGTGTTTGGCTGCTAGCCCTGAAAGACATATGAAAATAACTTCTCAAGCTTGGAAGGAATCAGATTCGTATGGAGACGAGCCATCCACCCTTAGGTAAGAGCTAATGCAAGCTCTAAGAACAGGAGACAAAGTGGGTGGATTCTTGCTTGGGACTCAGGGGCGTTTGGCTTGAGTTTGGAATCAGAGATGGGTTGTCAAGCTGGGATCAACATCATGGCTCAAGTCAGGGAACCTGTTAAACTGGACTGAAATATAGCTGGTAGGACAGAGCACATAATTGTAGCCAGTCAGACTTGAGGTTTGCTTCTGAAGTAGCGCTTACTAGATGGGAACCCCTCAGCCTGTTCTACAAAATCTTTCCAAGCTATTGAAAGCAAATGCTAGAGACATAAAATGTGAATTAATTTATGAATGCAAAATTCCCACCAGTGCCTGGCAGATAAAGATTTTTCCCATAATGAACATCATCTATCACAATTACTCTTGTTCCTCTACCTGTGATTTTGCCAACCTGTGATTATTCTGAGCTGTCTAGCTTCTGTAACCTCTGGGATCTTCTGGCAGTACCAGATCTAGACAGCAGAGGGTGCCAGGTTCTTCCTCCCCTTACAACCCTCTTCCAGGCTTCAGAATTACATTACTTTCAAAAACTAGGGGAAACAGCTAGGGAGAAATGGAATTTGAGGGGCAAGGATAATATTGGAGGGAACTGTGGTCTTGACTGGTCAGTAGAAACACTTGTTCAGACTTTTAAAGTTTTTTAGATTTGTTATTTTATTTTATATGTATGTGTGTGTGTATGTATGTATGTATGTATGTATGTATGTATGTATGTATGTGCCTGGTACCCTTAGAATTGAGACAAGAACTTTAAATGCCCTAGAAATGGAATTACAGGTGTCTGTGAGCCGCCCTATGAGAGCTGGGGGCTGAACCCAGATTCTCTACAAGATTAACAAATTAACAAGTACCTTCCCAGTTTCAGAATCTCAACCTGTGGCTCTCAGACTTCTCCCTTCACCAGCAGGTTCCACAGGAATGCCAGAAGCTACTAATTTGGGGACATTCTTGGACCTCTCTGAGTGGCTTTCCTTTGACTCTATTAGCCCTCAAGTGAGACCTTGACCTGGTAGATCTCTGGCCTTCATTGACCAGCTTTAAAGGCCTAGTCTGACACCAAGTGTGATCATCAAGCCAAGGGCACCTGAGCATGTGGCTCTCCTCTCCCCCAGCATGAGTTCGGGGACCTAGAAGGCCAGGACTGCCCATGATTTCTTTCCTCTGCCCAACATTATTGCCTGTTCTGACTCCAGCTGGCTGCCTTCCCAGCCATTTTCCTCATTGTTTAATTATGCCAAGAGAAGAGCCTCCTGTGTGGGCAGGGAGTGCGTAGGAAGGAGCTCAACACAGAAGCATATCCGAGTATCATAGAAAGGCAGATAAAGCCTTGAAAGGTGTAGACGAGAGAGAAGGCAACCTGATCAGACCCAGAGAAAAGGATTATGAACTGTGGAAAGGGGGAAACTGGAAAGCCCAGGGACTGAGATGCAATTATCTCCTAGGTGGACCCCAACACACTCTCTCTCCCCCTCCCTCCCTCCCTCCCTCCCTCCCTCCCTCCCTCCCTCCCTCCCTCCCTCCCTCCCTCCCTCCCTCTCTCTCTCTCTCTCTCTCTCTCTCTCTCTCTCTCTCTCGTGTTAGGGCTTATTACATGACCCTAATACTACTGTGTGTGTGAATGGTGGGCTTCCCAAATAGATTACTAGTATGTTGTGGACCGGTCAGCTGCTTAGAGCAGAAAGT